CATAGCAGGTGTACATGCAGGAAACAGAGGCATAAGGAAGTTCTGGTTTCTAAAGGGTGTGCTAAAGACACAAACTGCAGAGTGGCTATGGAAGAGAAAATAAGGTTGGAAGAACAGATGCTGTTTCTGTATCAGGCCTCCTGTCCAGTGAACTACAGATGTTCTATCTTCAGCTAATGACAACTTCATTTTTCATATTCCTCTTCTAGTTGTTGATGAGGTTGCTTATTGTTATTAGGCTTTTGTTTTAGTAAAGTACAGCATGATAGCTATGCACGTCCAGTAAGATGACATAGCTCTTTCAAGGAAATTGCTTCAAGAAAATGTAATCAAAGAAACTCGATTTCCATGAAATAGCTTGGTATCCAAAAGTTTGAAAGCAATGGCTTTCCAGAAGCTTGTCTTCTCAACAGTTTTTTCTTCTGAAATCCTGTAGTATTCTTCTATGTCAGCTGTGTCAGTGTCTCCAAGAATATTACACAAAGAATGGGTTATTTGTATTATGTCAAAGCACCACCTTTTCTCACATGATCTACAATTACTCCAAACAGAATGCACTTCTTTTCCATTTATAACCAAAAAGAAAATTGAAAATTCACATCCTTAGCACCAAAATGGTAATTCTGAGTTTAAGAGGTAACACTTAGGAAGTTGAAAAAAACCTAGCTAAGTAACAGGCATCTACCTCCCATCTAATTCAAGTGCTTGTGAGGGGGTAACCTTACCTCGAAATGTAGCTTCCAATGAATTTGGAATGGTTTCTCAGGAAACATAACTCACTATGCAAACAAGACTTAGGGATATCCTCTTGAAATACAACTCAAACTGTAAAAAACATTAATAAGAGCAGTTAATATAACTAGCAATAGAAAGCAGTCAGACTCAACTGACTCAAGTTTTACCTCTTATACTGACTAGGTTCTGTATCTGCATTTGTCCCATAGCAGATTGCTGCTGAGCTTAGAGCTCATTCTCAAGCAAACCATTAGCCCCAAAGTGAAAGTATTTCTATGCTACAAAAACTGAAGTCAAAGAAGGCTTACGCTAGTAAAAATTGTATGTATTTAAGTACATGCGTTGGCTTACATGTTTAACACCTTGCAGATAAACCATGGAGAACACTGTCTTCCGTTTTATAACACTGGCACCTATCAATGCAAAACTTCACTTTTCTGAGTGTATGGAAACCCACTATTTATGCAAAGCTAAGCACCTACAACTGTACAAAAGTAATCCCGAAGAATTTATAACTCTTAAAGCGAATACAATATTTATTACTACACTGAAAAAAACCCCAAACATAGTAGTGCAAAAGAATCATCTAGAGAGCCATGCTTACCCTGTATCTTTCAGGGGGTTTGTGTGCACAATGGAATAAGAAACTTGCAGAATTACACAATGGCTTACTATATATAAATATATGTAATACAGGCTCATTTTATAAGCTTACATATTAAGATTTTCTGTTCAGATCACAGTACAACTGAACCAATACAGACTCCTCTAAATGTCCTACGTTTCACTTGGCATCTTGTTTTCAACTGAACTGATTAATGGTATGTGGTTTTCCTCTGGCCTTTAAAACCAAACAACGAAGCAACAATCTCTCAGGAGCGAGAACTTTGTGTTCTAAAAGATGTCTCCTGAAATTCAAGGATGAAATTCTCATGGGCTACAAAGTAAGGAGAAAAGAGGAAGGGCAAGGTGGAAGAACAGAGGTGCAAAAAAGCTGAACAAAATTTGTACCTGAAAATTCTCAAGGCACGCGTCAATTAGACCAGACAGATCCTAAAGAGAAGCAAGATCTTAAGACATCAAGATTTTAACAACAGTCAGTTCCAAGTACTCAATTCTCCAGCCAGAACTCACCCATTCTATACCAGTAGCATTCTATCAGCACCACATTCTGGAAGTTGTCTTGATGTCTGCTAAGGTTGTCAACCAAGACCTTCTGCAACAGCTAACACTGATACTTTCCTCAATGCTCTTTCGAGAACAAAAACCAAGAGACCTGACAAAGAGACCTGGACCCCTTATTCCAATAAAAGCATCCCAATTCTTGCAAAAGAGGAAAGAAAGCAAGCTGATACTAATCAGATTGTTGCATTTCTAAGCTATCTATACATCAGTTAATCTTACTGCATTTGTTATCAGAGGAGGATTAACAACATGGTGGAAATTCTGTAGATGTTATTTCAGCAAAAGAGCATCCTTTCCCAAAGAAATGACAGCTTTGTACTAAACACCAAAGCTGCGATACATCTTTACTATTTACCTTCACAAATTAGTCAGTGACTAAGAGGTCCTAAATTCATGCCATATGCAGTACACATGGCTGCATCTTGCAGTTCCTCGCTTCAATGGAAGATTTGGGTTGCCTTTGAAGACACTGGCTTATGAAATATTCCATACACACATCTACAAAAGTTCAATTATCTACACCCTGAGTTAATTCTTCCTAAAGTGAAGTTTGAAGTTATATTCTTCAACAGGCTAACTTGGACACCTAAAATTACAGAGATGAGCTTCCATTTGACTTTGTATTACAGAAATTGACAACAATATATTTGCACTTCACAATGACACAGGCAGCACATCTTCACCTTTCATACCTTTCCACTTGCAGTTTTGTTTCCTGCTTTACCCTGCTTTCTCTGCATTGCTCCTGCACTGTTCCCATAGTATAGGCCTTTATAATACTTTAGTCCTAATTCCAACTACTTTTTAAACACACAATTGCCTATCGAGGTCGAAATACATTTCTCTAATGTATGCTATTTTATGTTGAAGGCACTAGGGTAAAATAGCATCATTTCAACAACACAAAGATTTGCAGCAAACAACGTTTTGTTTTTTTTTTTTAAGGAAATGGAGAGGGCTGGGGGGGATTACCTTTACCTTCAGGGGATTATAGTGTGGCCCATGTTCCAATGAAATAATCTCTGTACCTTAAGAAACTTTTATTGATTATGGATTATTTCCCTCATTCCCCTATTCCCCTGTTCCTACGCCAGTTTGTTTCATGCAAACCATTAACATAAATAGCTGTCTTAGTATAGCCTTTTAAAGCTACAATGCTTTTTTTTTTTTTTTTAAAAAAAAAAACAAACCTATAAACAGTAAAAGATCTTCAACTGAATTCCAACCTTTATAGTATTTTAAGTGCTATTAAAGACTTGTTGATAGCAATTCAGAATAAATTTTCGGTCCACAATTGATGAGCCTAATGAATCTGCTTCAGATTATGATGCAGATAAGAGATATTCTTATAATAGTGAAGCATTTGAACTAAAACTTTAAGAACAATTGATAGAGATTGCAGAAAAGACTAAAAAGTTAATTAGCACATTTCTGGTTGCAAATGTTTAAATGATCAAGTCAAACTAATTAATGCTAGTTCTTTTTTGCCTAAGCAGTTATCAAATCTAACAGGACTGGTACAGTTTACACACTTGCATTAACCAGTTGTCTTTTAATCAACTGCCAGACTGCAGTTCCATCCCTCCAAAGTAATCAGATTGTATTCTTGTCATCTGCTTAAAACCACTTTTGTTTCAGAAATACTTTGCTTTTAACATCTTTGTTTTCTACAAATACCCTCAAATAAAAGCCATTTACAAAAAGAGATTTTGTTCAATTCAGTACTTTTAGGATGGAGTTGACTACTGAGCTGAGGCTATTATTCTCTTTGTCATCCTAAATTAAATTTTCTAATACAGCTGGGCAGGACAACTCAGTTTGAGTGCTTCCCAAAACCCCCAGTTTTCACAAGCTCAAATCATACATTTTGTTGCTTCGTATGTGTCACTACAACTGCTGGACAACTACAACCTTCCGGACTTGTAGAAAGACTTACTGAGGTAATCACTAATTAACCTTTTTGTTCTAGCGGTTCTTGAATTCTTTCATTTCTTGCTGGGCTCACACTAGCCAGTTTCTTTCCTCAGCACCCCCTGCTTTTAAGATTGAGCCCCAGTACACCTTCAGGGGAAGCCTACACACTACCCAAGACTGCTTTGAGGACAGAACACTTATTATTTCCCATCTCATAACAGCATATTATCTGGCACACATGTCTAACACCTACAACATCTACAATTCACCAATCACTCTTCCATCAAAATACATGCTTTCCATATCACATACCTACCAACAAGGATTACATGAGAAATACACAGCAGTCCAGGCAAGATTTCCATCTTCCATGCCACATTTTACTATCTTCTTTCCTGAACCTCCCTCATCCACACCTCGAGTTTTACAAAGTTTGGTGCCTTTCATCTCACATCTTCCTAGCTGATCACAATCGTAATTTCAGTGGCTACGGCTCCACGACAAAGTAAGAAGCACTATATTAACACAATTACCACAGAGGTAAGAGCAACATATTTGCCAGGTTACAGATACATACTTTTACCTCAACTGCAATGCTATTTGGCAGCTGCATTTCAAGTATATTCAATTCCAGAGAACCAGCACAAGTAAAAACCTTTGGTTAGTGAGGCAGAAATACTACACGAACTGCAGCTTCACAAACAAACCTGTAAACACGTCATTTCAGTGAGGCATGCACCATTAAAGACAGCCTGGTTTTCTTAATTTCAAGCCAACTTTAAAGAAAAGTTCATCATCATAATTTAAAACCGGAATAAATCATTTCCAAACTACATGTTCAGTTTTTTTTTTATATAAAAATTAAGGTTTAACATTTATTTTTACATCTAGCTTTCCACATCCATGTGGGGACAAGGAATCAGAATGTACATAACTATAAGCTGTGCAAAAGTGGTGCCGTGCAAAGTCACAGATGCACGATAAACTGATAGTACAAGACTAGAGAAAATGAAGATATGGATGTTAAGAATGGAGACAAAAAAAAAAAAGCAAGGTAATATATGAAGGAAGAGGGCAGGAAACAGGAGAGTCGGATGCTTAATAATGCCCTCGTTGCTGCAAAGATAAACTAATGGCACAAGACAATGCTTCTTGTAGAACAAAAATCCAATAGCAATGAGTCTTTATTCACGTTTAGTCACCTGACATGAGGAAAGTGTCTGTTGCATTAAAATAGTCATTAATGTAAATGGCAGCATGGCTGAACAAGTCCTTTCCAATGGTAACGAACATCCCACATAGTAAATTCACTTCAACACAGCCTCATGACAATTCCCACATCAAAACAGTACTTTATTTTATATTTTTGCCTCATGATTACTCCCATATTAAGATCTTTCAGCTGTCAAGCGTACAAGGTGAAGAAAAAGGTTCTCAGTCAGCAAACACAGGTGCATCAGGAAGCATCTCCACAATACACCACTTCAGATCTGCTGGGTCCCAAGTCCATCCTTGAACGCTGGGCTCCCAGCACCACGTGTAGCACACTACTAAGGCTACACTACTATGTTAGCTTATTAATTCTGCATACATCAGGCCGAACAATGTGTCAACCTGCAAAAGACTGAGCATTATAACTGAAAATGGCAAAAGATTCACTCTATTGAACTTCACATCATTATTTGATGTTAAACAATGAGGCAAATCCCAACAGTATATACAAAAACCAGCTTTGCTTTTACAAAAGATTTTGTTTCCCATATTGATTAATCCAGGCAGCTAACTCATTGGTTTATGCAACTTTATTGAAGAAAATAAATCAATTACTAGTAGAGCTATTAGTTGATCACTCATCCATTTACAACTTGCATCATTTATTCAGTGCTATATTAAACAGTGTTTTGGAAGACAGATTAACTAATAGCTCCAAGCCTCCTAACAAAATTTAAATGAATTACAAAAATGTTCTTAGACCCTATTTTGGAATACAAGGGATGTTTGACTTCCAATTTCCATTCTCTGTAAAACAAGAACTGGTCATTCCTTTATTGACATGCATAAGATACATCACATTTTCTGTTCTGCTGATGCTATAGATTCAGTACCAATTCTCCAGACATATCAGTTATGAGCAAATGTATATAATAAAACCTCAGTTCTCTAACACTAGGTTTGTAACAAGATGGATGTTGCTACAGCAATGTTACTTCTTTGATGGGAGAAAACTGAACATCCATCTCCTCTCACCCCTTTCAGGTGGTATCTTCAGTATCTGTTAGAGCAATGAGGAATGTATTTTTTTAATCTCATAACCAAGTTAGAATGAAGACATTGGCCACATAATACACATGCTCCATTAAAAAAAAAATTCTGAATCTTGGGCAATTGTTCTTGTGTAACTACTTTACAGATTCTAAAAGCAGTTATTGTCCAAAGCTGGAAGAACTAAAGTCTTCTCAGATGAGCATGTGCATGAATGGAAGGAGGTAAACAAAAAAATAAAAAAAGATGAGGTCTGATAGGGGAGCAGCCGGATAAGAAAATCAAAAAAGGAACAGTAATTTAAAGTTTATTCCAGCTATAATGCAGGTTATTCTGACTTTAAGGTAGCATCACATGGCATACTTCTGAGTCCATTCCCGAGATATTCTGTTGTACCTGCAAAGAACAAGAACTGAGTTACTGTCAGGATGAAAATAACAATTCCCTAAACCATTAATCATTAAATATTACTTTCACCTCATCTCCTGATTGTCTTCACATGAAGAAAAGTCTCCTTTTAATAACATAAAGGGAAAAAAACCTCAAACAAATCCCTCTCTAGACTAACCAGGATGTTCTTAAATTTATATGAAACACTTCAAACTCAAGTCAAGCATATTTGCTGGAGGTCTGCTGTGAATAACTACTCAAGTGGAAGGTGTGAATAACTACTCCAGGGGAAGGAATACAGACCATTTGGAATAGCAGGGGCAAAGGGAGTGTTTTGTTTAAATATTGTTCTTAGATAAAGATTTCAGAGGATCACATGCCATAAGTAAAGATTACTTGGTTAATAATATCACTGCATTTAGAATTTGTCAAATTTCTTGTTTAACAGTAAAATAATAGTAAATTTTCTTCATACTTTGTATTTTCTTTCCACATTAATATACTGCTGAAATAATTTTTAAAAAGGATAATGTTATCTTTAAGTATACTACCTCCACAGGAACTGAGCTGACAATTAGTTTATACTTAACTCCATGCTTGTCAGTAAGAAGTTAATTTTCAACTATACAAGCAGAACATAATCCCCATACATTTTTTTAGTCTGCAATGTATAAAAGACAGACACTGGTGAATAATAGAAGTCGAAATCTGAATTGCCCAAAATTTTGCATACCTATGCATGAGGTCTGATTATACTGTACTGCTTCCAGGGCATCACTTTTAATGAAATTCTGGCAAAATCTGGGTAAATACTTGACAGAACAAGTTGACAAGCTGGCTCAAACTCAGTAATTATTTCACTCTTTTGTTGTTGTTGTTGCCATGCAAGAGCAATATCTGTGAGAAATAGTGACTGGCCAATACATTTCACACTAACCACAGATCAAGCTGTTAAATATTCAAGTTCAGTAACTGGTCCATCCATTATCTGTTAGTTAATCCAGTGCCTTAAAGCATGCAGCACTCAAGTGCTGACAAGTTCCATTTTGTTAAATGCACAGATATGTGCAGATATTCTTACCCTACAGCATAGCGTATTTCTCTGTCCACTCTCTTGCTAACCTATTGTACCTAATTGGACAAGTATATTTAGCATTAATATATGAAACAAACAAAGGCTAATTTATGTCACTATATCCGTGGAAAAAGTTTAAAACAAGTAAGGAATAAAAACAACCATTTCAACACAGATAGGGACAACTTATGAAGCTTTGTTCAAGGGGAAGTTTTCAAATTAAAGACCAAGTTGCTACTAAAAAGGGCACCAAAACAACAAAGCTGTCTTTTCCTCCAAGTATCTGTCCTACTTACACATAATAAGTCAATAAATGGGGCAACATGTACTTTCAAATATTGCCATACTTGTGAGAAAAAGATGGCTTCCTTCTCCCGTTACTTCAAAGATACCAAGCCCCGTTGTTTAAATTACTATTGAAAATAGATACTACTTTGACACACAGCTCTCTGCACTTCAGATTTCCCAGTAAAAGACTCGCTTGGTACAGCTGTTTGAGAAAGCACTCTTCACCAAGTTTGTTACAATACTGCTCTTATGCAACTCTGTACTTACTTGTCTCTGTCTGTTTTATAGATACGTGCAATCTCTGGCACTAGAGGGTCATCTGGATTTGGATCACATAACAGTGAACAAATGGATAAGAGAACTGTAAAAAAAAATAAAAATAAAAATAAAAATAAAAATAAATATATATATATATATGCATCAATTGCAAAATAGGAGCAATCACATTTAAGTACAGTTCTTTGTATTAGCACAATGTGATAACTCAAACAACATCTCCGCTGACATATGACCAAAATAAATTTGCAGCCCATTTTAAATAAATAAATACATATGAACACAACATATGAATCACTTAGAAGTTCATAATGTTGTTGTCTTTGGGTTTGTTTTTTTTTTTAACCAATTCTGGTAACTTTCAGTTAACAAGCAGAAGAACAGCACTGTTGTTTATCCCCTGCGCTGTGATGAAAGGCAACAGTCAATTTAAAGCATGTTATGTATTCTGATGACAAGAATATTCCATGTTTTAATTACCAAAACTAAGCCTTATTCATTTACTTCTGATCATGTTGATTTTTTTTTCTCTGTACTAAGACAATTTACTCTGTTCCGCGCTGATAAAGCTGCAGGTAGGTTGTAAAGAAGAGTAACACTGATGCAGTCTGCAACGTCCACTCTCACAGAAAAACAATAGTGACAACATTAAAAAGTAGGGTATCCACATCCAGATCACAAACCTACACCTTGCACAGACAGGAATTACAAGTTCTGTAAACAAAGGAGTACTTCAATGGATCTTTTGAAGCTACAGTGACCAGTACCTTTGAAGCAAAAAAGAATTTGATCATCATGAAAACATTTGAGCACTCAATGTTATTTAGTACATTAAAATGGAAAAAAAAAGACAAAGCTTCTACTGCAGCATAACACCAATGTATCCTAAAGCATAACCACAAAGTTTAGTTCATGAAATTCATGCAATGCCAGTGCACAGCAGCTGAAAGCAACATTTATGAAAAACCACTTTTGTTAACTGTACAGATGTGACAACACAGCGCAGCATGCAATCCCTGACAGACTCAACAACAACAACAAAAAAACAACAAACTATGAAGACTTAATTACTAAAAATGAAAGTCATCTTTAAATTGATATGCCAGTACGTATTTATACGTACATTTGGAGGGCAGGAAACAAGCACTGTCTCCACTTTAGGTTGGAATACACGACCACAATCTTTCTTCAATCCAAATGCTAGTAGTTTACTCTGGGACTAAGCTAGTATGCTCTGCTAAGAATAGTGCAGCAAATAAGCAGTCACATAAGGTCTTCAAACAGCCAGTTAGAAGAAGGTATTTGAAAAAACAGACCTTCATTTACAAATATCTTAAGATATGATTATTAAATTGGCAAAAACACAGACTGGATTTAAAGGAAAACTCAAGAGTATTAAAGCTAAAAGCATAGTATCCAACACCAAATGGAAACATCTCTTCCTCACAAAAGTTACCTTTAGAAATAGTTAAAGCAGGAGACCATTGTGATCTTAGAATATCGAGACAAATGCTGCCATTACTGTTAATATTTGGATGATAGATTCTTGTTGTAAATGCAACCTGTAAAAAAAAAAAAAAAGATATAGTTTGTTTTGATTTATGACAACATCATCTGTTCTCAGTCAAGCTGTCAGTCAACTCAATTTCCTGCTAAAGAAAATAATCGAGCAGTTAAACCCTAGATTCATAGTAAGTACTCTCAATATCCAGCTATCACTCCAATTCAGAGAGAGGGCAAGTGGTAGGCTGTGCTTTAATCACAGTTCACTGCATGCTGATGAAGATGCTCAACCAGTGTCTGAACCATGGCAACAGTGCCATCGTGAAGCTAAAGAATTCCAAATGTTATGGTTACTTCTAGCATGCACTTTCATATTGTAAGAAAACTGGCAGACGTACTTTTCTATAGTTTTACCAGCTATTATTATTAAATAACTACTGCCAAAAGCTAAGAGATACAATCACCGACTCCAAGAACTCACCAAGAGTCATGTTTTTATGGAATAACCCAAACAGTCATACTGTAAGACTTGACTGCACCCTTAGCAAGAATTCTGTTGTAACACAAAGCTAGTAAGCTTTCCTAACAATCAAGAAAAACAAAAATAAGATGAAACACTAACCCAGGACGTTCAGAATTCATTAATTTTCTCCGAAAAATGTATGCCAACATACCTACTTTTGTTGTAGAGAGGGACCTGGGCATTTAAGATACTATAAGAATGCACAAAAAAACAAGTCCTTCACATCATTAAAACACAGATGTTGGCATTTTCTATCCTTTAGTTAGTTCCTTAAAGACAGCTAACACCACAAATGAGAAAACGATACTTACCTTAGGTGGTTTGAAAGGGTAGTCTGTAGGAAAGTGAATTGTCAAGAAGAACACACCACCCTGATATGGACTGTCATTCTGCCAAAGTAAACAAATAATTCCCCTATTATCATCCTTAGAACAAATTCCAAGAAGATGTTGTTTTTAAATACATAAATCAACTTGTTTCAATGGTTGAACTGTCTATTACACCAATGTAACAGACGTAGTTAAAATTCAATTACTACTTCCTTAGGTATGTGATACTGAACAGATATTTCTCTTTCCAGATGGACTTCTCTGAGCTGATGCTTCAAAGAAAACTTCTCTACCAACTCACTCAGAACAATTTGGCAAAAGTACCTCAGTTCCCCTGAGATGGCCCAATTGAATGGTAACAGCATGGAAGTACTGCCTAACACGTTCAAGAACAAATAGTGTTTGGAGTATATTTGTTATAACCACCCAATTTTACAACAGCCAAAGGCCTCCCATAAGTTCTACCTTCAGCTTAGGTATTGCTTAGCACTGCAAAATATTACCAACACATAGCTAATTAACTCCTTGTTCCATGGTTGTTTTGTTTTGTTTTGTTTTGTTTTGTTTTTGTTTTTGTTTTTTTTTTGTTGTTGTTTTGTTTTTTTTTGGGGGTGGGGGGGGGGAGAAGGGGGCAGAGGAAGAGAGTAAAAAGAAAAGCATCAAGATTAACAAAACACATTGAGATTAAAGAGATTTCTTCCTCTTTTACAGAACAGAACTTCAACATTAGCAGGTATGGGAGTGTACTGCACATTACCGCTGTTTGAAGTGAAAACTACAACACAACTCCAGGAGCACGGCTATCAAAAATGAATGTGGGACACTGTACACTTCTGAATTACTTGTTATCTGAATCTTTATATTCACTGTACAAACATTTCACACCAGTGTAAGACGACACTATGTCTTTCTCAGCTACATAGAAGCAAATGAAATACTGCAGTACAACACATGGGACTAAAACATAAAAACACACAGGTCGTAACTCCTACACAGTTCTGTATCAAAAACCCAGCAATAGATGTAACCTCTTGTATGTGGTCAAGGGTACTACATGAGGCTTTAAGGAACAACCCCTTTTCTTCACATTTTAGCAAGTGTGGGAGCAAACTTCTCCCAGAATATGTTAAAACTGAAGTTGACAAATAATACAAGCACTCTTGTATCTCATTAAGAAAATCACAGCCTTTGTAATATCCGCAGAGCAGGAATGCCAGGTGACTGGTACTACCCTTGAAGGCACTAAACAGCACCAGGTGAGCATTAGAGCTAACATCACACTGTCAGGCCAATTTTGAAGCAGGAATACAGATCTTTCTGATTGACACCAAAGAAACCACAAAGGGAAAGAAAGGAGCTGTACATTGTTAAACCACGAGCTAAAAATAATAACGCCATTTTAAGATTCAACTGATGTTTAATACCTTATCACCATGCAGATACCAGGTACATAAAATCAAAAGCAATGCAGCGCAGAACATGTCTTGTATTTCAAATGATTTTTATCCTTTTGAGACACTTAGTTACAATCAATGAGGACCAGGAACTTGAGAATGAAGTCATTTTTCCAATGAAGTCAACCTCTGACATGCAAACTTTCAGTGGTGATCTACTTAAAACACGCTTGTAGCTATATAGAACTAGGACAATTCAGCATCATTGATACTTAATTCCTCTGAGCCTCACCAGAAGCACAACTCTGGGGCTCCAGGCCTACTGGCATCTGATATTGGTCTGAAGTTATAAAAAGTTTTCTAAATATAGCTAATTAGCCCTGAGAATTGCAGATATCAAGTGCTTGCATGTTATGTTTTTAGTCAGAACAAGTATTTGCCTTCTTTAACAAGGAAATATGAATACTCAGGTTTCAGTTGTGTACTGTACATTTAACACACAGGATTCTCCTCAGTCATAACTCAAAGTGTAGAAACAGTTAAATGCAAACAAACTTTCTAGAAATAAGGTGATAACAGCCAAGATTGTTCTAGAAATTATTCTATCCCCAATATGAGTTCTGGTATAAATACCCCAGCAGCAAAATTGTGTTCAGACTAATTATTTTTCCTCTTTTATTTTCTGTAACTATAAGAAATACCTCTAGACCTACTGCCTGATAATGAGAGTTTTAAAACAAAAAAGCGAAACAGGGAAAAAACACACAGGTTCTTCCTGAATAGGATCTACTAGTTGAACATTACATCACAAGAATTAGAATACTTACAGGTCCCATAATTGTGGCTTGCCAATGAAACACTACAAAAGAAAAACTCCACATTATTATCTAGGCATGGTATGCTTTGTGTTAATAGAGCAAAACTAAAAACCTAAGATTACTTACTGTCATCTCCAACAGGACCTGCTGAACACTGTGCTGGAGGATCACGAGCTAAGTCACTAAGTTCCTTAGGAAGAAACAAAAAAAAACAAAGATCTGTTCAGAGAAGAAATGCTAAAGAATTCAACAGTCATTTTCAACTCATGGCCAACAAAAATCTCTCAAAGTTTTTCCATGTACAAATGCATAAGAATGTGCAGTGACAACTATTAAAATCAACAGATCGATATCAGAAACATCTTTGTAAAAGACAACAGGCTAAACTGAACACAAAGGTCAACAATTAAGGTAACTACACTTTTTCAAATATCACTACTTTTTATTCCTCTTAAGACACTCCTGTTGGAAAAGGGACAAAGAGAACAGGTCACTGAGCCTGAAGTGGGCTAAGTCCAACCAGTTTCTGATCATGATTTCCAAGGATTAAGTCTTAGCCAGAGAAGTGTTAAGCTGGGAATGAGAAAGCTATGGTTAGCTTTCATGACACAGAAAGCACTGTGTGTATAGCATTCAATACTAACATTCAGACCAACCAGAAACTCAGTTGCTTTTTTCCCCACTGCCTCTAGCAAGAATACATTTTTCATAAGATAAAGCAGACAAATAAATTGAAGATACTGACAAATATCAGAAGCAGGCAAAGTATCTGCACATTTTATTTTAAACTTTACATTCATGACAATTATGCCTTTAAAATTCTGAATAACTAAGATGCAGAAAGCAGATCCCCCCGTTCCCTTGTTTCACAAGGAACAAAAACAGAAACTCAGAATGGAGGATTCCTTGTCTAGTACCAAGATCGCAGTGATGAATCTCAGAAGTCCTGGATTCATTTAAACACTCTGTAGTTACTTGACTGGATGGTGTGTTTTCTAAGAAGATGTTGGCTTTCAGTTACAGAACGCAGTAAATAACTTCTCTCCCCCCTGCTGTTTTTCAAAGCTAATAATGGCTTCAGGAACTTGTGTAAAACTGCACTTGTCAAGGCTTTCCAAGTCACAAGAATGGGGAAAGCCTTCAGTCCTTCTCCCAGATATTAGCAGTTGCACCCAAGTCATTTACGACAGGCCCACACAAGCCATTAAAACAAGAACTTTCCATTACATTCTCAGACTTTTAAGGAACACAGACACACTTACTAGGTTGGAAACACACATACGTTTGGACCAGACAGCAACCAGGCCTGCCTGGGAAAACTCTGCTATCTTTTAGATTTGACAAATTCTATACTTGATGAAAACTTAGTAAATGTAAACCAAAACAAAATGAGAAGAAAAATGCATTCCTTCCAATGCGAATACCTTGTTCTTGCAAACACAGGAAGAGAGGAAAACACTACTCCAACATATATAGGTTCTCGGAACACTGGAGATCATCATTTCCCCTCCTTATATGTGTTGATTTTCATCACCTTTCTAATTAACAAGATTTGAATTTTGCACTGGGATGAGACTGTGCAGAAAAAAATGGAATTGTATCAGTTTTCATAAGCAATGGCACAGTGGAATGAGTGTTCATCCATTTCAGCGCTGCAGTCATCTGTGAGAGCAGACAACAGCTCTCTCTACAGCACAGAAAACTCCTTCACAGAGCACTCTTCTATTATACAGCACTCCCCTGTTATTGATGGGGGCTCCCTGGGACATTCTTACTTCTGCAATGAAATCTCTGCTCTGGTCCACGTGTTGTTCCATGGACTTGCTAGGTTAGATTTAGACCATCTGTGTAAAGATGAAGAAGAAATGTAAAAACTTTCATATAGAAAGCTTTTTTTTGTTTGTTTGTTTGTTTTATTTTCAGGTTTTCCCTCAACAAACGCTTAGCAAATAAAGGAAGTCCTGGTAAGCAGGCTGACTTCCCATATGAATGTCTTTCCAATTACAAGAACTATCAGTTGATTGTTTATGATATCCGGGAAAAAAATTCCCCTGACTGTGTTTTGTCCCTTAAAATAAACTGCAGCAAAAGAAGATGCAAAAAGACTGTTGTTATATTTTAACGTACTTATGCTGTTATTACTGCATTATTTGATTTAATCTGGGAAGATGATCCTATTTCTGGAAAACTATTATGGGGACTAGGAACCATGAAATGGCTCTTCACAAAGTTCATAGAAATTACGAAGACAAGAGGGCAAGAAAAGACCAGCCTACAAGTGGAAAGCCAGAGGTACGTACAACAGGCTACAGAGTTCTTCTAAAAGTTCTACTGTCTTCAGAGAAAAAACAGCATTCAGCTTAAAAAGCAGTTGACAAATATATTTTAAAACATAAGAGAGATTTGAGTACATCAATAATTCCAGCAGGAAAAGCAAGTAAGTAGGACTGCAAACGTAAGAAAAATATTTAAGAAGTGTCAGTAAAAACTTCATGAAAGAAAAAAAGGCTTCAGTAATTTACAAAGTGAAACACGCGAGCTTGCACGCTCCAGTAATCGAAGACTCAAAATACAGGTCCATAGGGAGTTAGCCCTTTTAACTACGGAAACGAGTCTGGGGAACAGGCAAGCCATGATTTTCATAAACTAAAGGTCTCAAAGTTTTGTCTGGTCCAAAACACTGAAGTACAAAAAAAAACCTAACTGTGCTAAACAAAGAAATTCAAAGTAGAGATAAGGCTAGGAACACGATACATTACTCAGTATTTCCACCACAGAACAAATGATTTACTGACTGAAGTCAGAAATACAAGAGAGCTAGCACTCATTCTTGTATTCTCTTCATGATCCCTTAGGTACCACAGCTATAAGAATAAAATTGGGAAGGAAGCTGTTTGTCTCAGCAATCTAAGTGTTGGAGAAGAACTGAGGCAGATACAAGCAACAGCAGCCAGTTCTTCCTGCTCCCAGTAACACCAAGCTGATATTTACCCAGTTGGTAGTGTGTGACACCTCACAGCTACACAAAAGGACGGAGGGTTTTTCTAAAAACAGGGCACAAAGTTCTCTCCACAACTTTCAGAGGTGCCTGCTTCTGAAAGCTACAGCTCTGCTGAACGCAAGGGGCGAACTGGAAGAACTAGAAACTGGGCAGGCACAGACATACGGCTGTGACACAGCGCGTTTGTACAGAAAAGGGAGGAGACTCCTCTCCAGCAACCCAGCAGCAGACCCAACACTGACCTTCCTCTTTAGCTCAGCCACTGAAACCAACCATTCCACAATAGGCAAATGCTTCATCTGACAGTATTTCCAAAAGCAGAACTAAGATTGGTAATTGCCAGGGGCTGATAAAAGTTCCAAACTGTTCCCTAGCTTTCACCCATCCCTCACTAATAAGTTATGACCACATCAAGTTTCACCTTATCAAGTGGTGTTTAATATTTAAGAATACAAAATGTTAAAAACGTTCCCCAGAGCTGCTCTAAGCATAAGGGCTTTATGATGTTCACATTCCTTCTGCTGCACTGCCTATCTACAGCTCTGCAGCTTTTTGCTTACACCCAGTTTCAGTGGCGCTTCCCTTTGTTAAGGTATACACCAAGTTACATCTCAAACTGTTTTTAAAATACCCAAAGCAGAACCCACGCTTTCCTGGAGCCAGCTGCTCTATTTTTCATTTTCCAGGTGGCTTAGGAAAAAATAGGTATTTTCCCAAGAAGTCAATTCCCAAGGCTTTATGTGAAAATGTTTGCACAAAGGCTGGTTCAGGGGTGCACTGCACACCCACTTGGAAAGGATGAGTCTTGAATTACAGCCATGACTAGTAGTCCCTGGCTCCGCCACAGGTTTCCGGTGTAGCTCCAGTGTATCACCACTGTGCCCCAGTTTCCAAATATAAAGTTGTGATAGCTCCTCCTCCTCCCCAGGGAAGATTAGTCACACAGCATTTCGCAGGTTAGGCACTATTTAAGGATCGAGCACCCATGCCAGAAGACAGTGGTAGCATGTACAGCATGACATATAGGTACAGTTTTGCACCAGTTTTGGAAAAGCTACAGAAAAGTGGAAGTACAACAACATCAACAGACAGCCCCGCTTCCACACCACACGCCATGGTTTACTGCCAGTTTCACATTAAGACTGTAGTAATCGTAATTTCACTGGAAAATTCTCACACACTTCTCTGTATAAGTTCAGTAAAATTAGCCAAAAAATAAACCAAACACTTAAACCACTAACTAGCTGCTTGTTTTGCATAAAAATATGCATACGCTTCTATTGGAGATCTAAAACAGTGGCACATGACTGTGAATGCAGGACTATGTTCCTAATGATATAATAAACGACAGGAATACCACTTTTCAAAAACAAATTGACAGAAAAGCTCTAAAGAAGCCTCACACAATTCCTCTCCACCAGTTGCTTACAAAAAGGTTACAGAAGTTATTCAAATGGTGAAGAAAATTCAAAGAACCGAGGATGCCTCACCCAAGAGTACAAGCAAGACCGTGAAGGTAAATTCTTAAGGCAACAAGCTGCTCTTCTCACAAAAGCATCCAAGCCTCAACAAATCCAGTAGCAAATGACTGCTTGCTGCATAGGCAAGCTGCCTTCCCACATGCAACCAAACTGAGCAGTCAGTGCCAGCCCCTTTGCGTCCCACTTCTCAGAACTCACGCTCCCTGTGGCTCCACTGCTGCATTTTTCTAGTTTAAGCTGGAAACAGCCAGAGCTTTATTTTTAATGATGGTAACAGCTTAACTACAGAGTGGTAAAACATCACTCATCTTCTCAGCCATAAATGCACAGTTAAATTTAATACCAGTTTACAACACAATTACTTGCTGAAATCATAAACTAACAGCTTTCTGGTCCTGTCAAGAAAGAACAGGGATGATTTGTTTTAAGTTTTTAGATGCTAATTTGTATTGCATCAGAGGCAAGGAAAGGTAACAATCAGTTACACCAGAAGTTTTTTTAAAAAAACAACAAACCAACATCAAGCAAACAAAAACATCACTTCAGCCAAACAGAAAGTAGCATTTATTAATCCGAGTGTTTGTTTAATACAGTCTCTCATTAACAGTTCAAACACTAAGCATACAAAAATTCATCTCTCTATTAGTCTTCAGCCACCAGCTCACTACTGAAAACAGCTTAAAAAAGAAAGGATTGGAAGCAGCTATA